GGGACGACTATAAAGTGACGGATTCGCTGATAACGATGTTATTGTCTGAACGCAGATTAGGTCCCAAATTGTACGGTGTGTTCGCCGGCGGACGGCTCGAGGAGTATATTCCGGTCAGTCGTCTGTTAATTATTTTTAAAATAATTTTTTATGAATTAAATTAAATTTTACACAATAGTCCCGAAACATGACATTCCCTGAGTTTAAGGACCCGGTGTTTGGGAAAGCTATCGCCAGGAAATTTGCTGTCATTCACAGGCTGGATGTGCCCATCAATAAGCACCCGAACTGGTTGTTGGATACCCTGGACCTGTGGGCGCAGACAGCTATCGACTACCACACGGACCCAAACAACTCACTAAACATACAAAACCCTAAACTGGAGACCGATTTATACGCCTTTGACTACAAATCTGAGTTAAAATGGTTGAGACAACTGCTCACAACATGCGGATCCCCTCCAGTCTTCTCCCATAACGACCTCTCGGAGACCAATGTCTTGATTCCGGACGACAGCACCGCCTACGCGGACGGCATAGTGTTCATCGACTTCGAGTGGGCCCACTATAACTACCGGGGCTTTGATATCGCCAACTATTTCACTAAATTCATGTTTGACTTCTCGACGCCGGAGTACCCGAGGGTTCGGTGCGATCACAACGCCTATCCCAATGACTACGAGAAACGGGTGTTTATTAGGGAATACATCAAACACTCAAAGGGTTTGACTTGTGATAAGCAAACCGAGGATCAAATGGTGAAAGAGGCCGACTATTTCGCACTGTCAGCTCACCTATTGTGGGCCCTTTGGTGTCTCAATAAATGCCATTCCTCTGGAGTGCAAACATTTGGGGTTTGTATTGAATAGAGTAGTGTTTTAGTATTTATACTTAATTTACAAATAAATTTTTGTTTTAAATAATAGTTCAACACATTGGAAAGGTTATCGGGGTATGTCCACAACAAAGATTACCTGATGGCAACGTATCATACTAAATTGTAACTTAGGATTTATGTGCAATATTAAAGTTATTAAATAATTTGCTATAAGTTTGCGATGATTTTAGTTAGCGAATGAATGCCTCATTATTTGTATTGTGGTATATTTGTATTTGCAAATTATGACTTCATAAATATGATTTAATAAATAAGTTATAAAGTATTGCGATATTTTATTTTCAATTTATAATCTTAATATTTAGTATGATATTCAAAATATATACTTCAACTCAGCTTTCTTATGACTGCATGTATAGCATACCTAACACTATTGTACAGTAATCTGTGTGCAGAGTTGAAGTATACCTTTGGATTACTACTGAATTGACGTCAAATGTTTTTTGATGAGTTCACTGAAATGTAGTCTCATAGAGAGTAAAATTGAGAGTACAGTCAATACATGGAAAACTTTATTCAAGTTTTATTGAGTCATTCAAAAAAGTATCGGTCAGTAGATAAAGGTTTGTATTTTGACTATCAGTGCCCAGTTGTATGCCATTCCTTACACACAGTTTGCAGCGCTTGTAACTAAAAGACTATTTCATTGATACCTAACCCATGGATACAATGAGAGATAAAATCCGACACCGGGAGGAACTGGAGAGCGATTCAAGTGAGGAACTGGAGGACAGTTCCAGTGAATCGGCGGAACTGGAGGTCATCACTAACCGCATGAAGTCGGAGGAGGAGGTGATCGTCTCGGAGCACAACATGTGGTTATCACACGTGCCTTATCTGTACGACTCGGCGCTGACCCACGCCTTGCAGTGGATCTCACCGACAGTCCAGTGGTTGCCAGACGTCATACCCACCAACGACTCGGACCTACTGTCTCAGCACCGACTCATTCTCGGCACTCATATGACAGCCGGCGATCTGCCGGACCTGTTGCTCGTGGCGTCGGTCCCGGTGCCCAACGACGGCACTACTGGCGAGCAATTGGCTGAGGGTTACGGTGGACAGGGATCAGTCAGAATGGACATAAAGATAGCGCACGAGGGGCCTGTTAGGAGGGCCCGGTATATGCCACAGAACCCCGACTTTATAGCCACTCAGACAATGGACGGGGATGTGCTGCTGTTTGACGTAAGCAAACACCCGCCGGAGCCGCCAGTGGGCTCCCGGTGCGCACCTAACGCCCGACTCGTTGGCCACACCGTAGGCGGCACTGGACTGGCGTGGAGTAGACACCGAATGGGCTATTTATTGAGCGCCGGCTACGACACGACTGTCCGCCTGTGGAACGTCTTCCAGCACCGACTCCAGTATGAGGCCAGTCGTGTGTTTAAGGCACACGTGGCGCCGGTAAAGGACGTCCAGTGGCACGAGAGCAACGCCCGGGTGTTTGGGTCGGTGGACGGCGCCGGACGGCTCATGGTTTGGGACATTCGCGCCGACAATGACCGGACGCCCCAACTAGAGGTGGGCGCACACAACCAAAAGTGCAATTGTCTGGCGTTTAGCCCCCACTCCGAAGCCTCATTGGCTACCGGTGCTGACGATAACACTGTAAAGCTCTGGGATCTGAGACAAATTCGGCGACCGATACACGCGCTCGAGTGGCACAGGGATGCCGTGTTTCAGGTGCAGTGGGCGCCCCACAACTCCTCCATTATAGGCTCGAGTGGCGGCGACCGGCGCCTACATCTATGGGACCTAAGTATCATCGGTGCCGAACAGAGCGAGATGGAGGCGCTGGAGGGACCGCCAGAGCTGCTGTTCATACACGGCGGACATACCGGCCCTGTCATGGATTTCTCGTGGAATGAGAACAACGATTGGATGGTGGGGTCGGTATGCGAGGGCCCACTCCTGCAGGTCTGGAAAATAAGTGAATCTTTGTATGACGAGGACTAGCAGGTGATGCCTACCAGTCCTTATGTATTGTTTATGTTAGTATTAACATTCATATAATAATTGTGTGTTTAATCGTTTTTATATTCAAATATTTATAACGTTTTATAATTAAAAGTGTATTAAAAGTTACTATTATAATTACTCCGATCATTACTTTTTGTTATAATCAATATGCATGTATTATATAAAATAGTTTTATCGCATTTTATAGTCAAATAAATGTCTTAATATTTAAACAAAATAAATAATAAATTAATGTGAATTCAGTAGTATATTTTTTATTTAGGGCAAGAATACTACAAATGTTCTTGATAACAGTAACTAACACTTAAATTTTGATTCAATTATTATCTTTAAGATAATTACTGGAGTTTTAAATCAGATTTTAAGGAAATTTAGCGATAGTTTCATTGATAGCTTTGGCCACGTATTCAATATTATTGGTGTTGAGTCCGGCCACACATA